AGGGAGCTCCAAGCAGTGGAAAGGATCATTAGGCTTCCATGGCCTCAGTGCCAATGGCATGTGAGGCCCTGCAGAGCAGACACATGACCCTCTTGTGGGTCGTGTGGAAACATCTAGAGGTATTTACAATAAGATGATGGGTATAAGGCTCATTGAGGGATGTGGTGGGAAAAAAACACTTTTGGGATTGTCTACAATTTGTTTTGGGATGTTTTCCAAGGGCCATGGGAACGTACAAGACTTAGTTTAGGATATTGGGGATGGATTAAAAGTGGGGAAAGGAAGGAATTGAGGTAGATTGGAAAGGAGCAAATGTGGGGAAAAAAGAGTATAAAAAGGGCAGGTCAGTGTGCCTGAGTCCTGCCTGCACTTGATCACTCCAATCTGTTCTGTATTCTCATTAAAACCTATTTTTATCTGGTTTAAACCAGAGCGTTCTTTCTGGTCTGAGTGGGTGTGTGTGAGCACAGCCAACGTGATGCTGGTCTGGTTGGCGAGCAGCAGAGGAGGGCTGAGTGGTGCAGCTGCGGCAGGGCTGTGAGCGGGGGGCTTGCATGTCCAGGTACCAGCAAGGCCTCTGAGAGAGACTGTCAGGCAAGGACAGAGAGAAGATGTCATTTGCCCCAAGTTGTCAAACTCCTGGCCAGGTGTCACATGAGCAAGGACAAGTGGCTACAGCCCTATGAAGTGAAGCAAGTGGTTGTGATGTTAAGCAGCTGAGAACCTAGGTCAGCCATTTTTTCCCCCCTTCCTCTAAATCTGTTTATGAGAATGGTTTGTGAATATTTATGTTTGGAATAATTATTTGGAAGAAGTCACAGCTGCATCTGCTCCTGCTGAACTGACAGTTTGTGTTGCTGTCTCCTAGATATCTTAAATTCTCACTCTGAAAGAAAGACTTTGTTTTTTAAAACTAAGGCTTGATTTCTATGCTGATTCAAAATGGGTGTAATTTCAAAGAGCAGTGGGACTTATTACTGGTTTAAGGACCAATGTAAGAAAACAGATGAACTGAACCAGTGGCTGTTGCAGTGACAGCCACTTTGGGAGGACCCAGAAGCGGCTGCTATGAGAAAATCAGCCCTGCACAGGTAATGCCTCAGCCTTCATGCCATGTTTGAAAAGAACAGAAATGCCACATTTGTGTGAGATCCTGTTGTGGGTCATCACTTCCCATACATCTGCCAGAGCTGGAAGCATCAGAAAGATGCATTTCAGAGGTGCACAACAACAGAGAGCCACAATTGTGTTCCTCAACCATCTTTGTGAGTACATGAGAAAAATTTCAAGAGTGTCTGAAAGACACTGCAGAACTTGTTATGTTTCCCCCGCCCCCCAGCATATAAACAATTGCATGCAATTAATAAGGACAGGAAAACATATGCATGTGTTTTATTTGAGAATGAGGTAATTATGCAGTTAGACACTATATGCACTGTATGCAATGTGGGTGGCAGGAGATGAGGATGCACGCACAGAAAGTTTTCAGATTCGGATTTTTAATACTATATGACTCTTAAATCAACATGTGATTTGTAATTGGCTGGACAGAAATCACAATAAATTTACATTTCAGAAACAAAACAAGCCCCCAAGCTCAATTAGCCCTGGATTCGTGGAATCTTCTGGAGCATTTTACATCTTCTTTAATGTGGAAACTCCCTTTCCTACTGGACAGAAATATATTAATGTTCCATCTCAACATTTTTTTCTAAAAGAAAGATATTTCTACAATGCCATTTTGGTGCTATCGATATGATGCCATCAAAGCCCTAAATAAAACCCATTTCTATTGTTGTTGATTATTTAGGAAATGCATTTTATCACAGGAAAGCCAACATGCACAGGGCATCCACCAATATCCATTCTGCAACAGCAAAAGCCAAAAATAACTCCACAAATAGGTGTTTGCATTGGGAGAGCATAAACAGAGATTTTACCCAGGTATTGCTGTATCATATTCTAACAAAATTTTGCATCTCAGACAGCATGGTAGCTCAAGATATTTGTCCTGAAGACCTATACAAAGCAATCAGTAAGTCTTCTTGAAAATGTCTTTATTGCTTTTAATTGTTCATTGGTAACAGGAAGCTCAACGATTATTTTTTGGTTCTTTTCCCTTTCTTTTTTGTTATTAACATATAATGTTCCTTAAAATTCCTTTTAAACACCCGATTTATTGTTCCCTTTCTTTTTTGTTATTAACATATAATGTTCCTTAAAATTCCTTTTAAACACCCGATTTATCATACGCCTACCACAAAAGCCTTCTTTTTACTGACTATACTATGAATTACACACCTATTTAACATTTCAGAAGAGGGAGACCTCACTCTTGAGCAGGAATGTTCAACATCAGTATAAATAAAGGGCACCTATGCCAGCCCAAATCAAAGGCAAGCACACTGAAATCTAGGCTGGTAGACTTTTCATATTCAGGAAAACCTCTCTGACATTTTCTTTTTACAAAACAGGATTTCCTGATATGCCTGGAGTCAGTATGGTGTGACATGGGCTGGCACTGCAGAATAGCAACAGCATACATTAAATCTGTGTTGGAGCTCGTTACCAGAAACACTGCATAGTAATTATGGTGAAGATTCTCTGTGAAATAGATTCTGGTTTTGCAAATGAGGTTCTGAAAAAACACCTCCTAACATTGCAGCAGAAAAGCTTTACAACTTGTCCAAATTGTAGAAGATGTCTCATCTTTTCCCATGAAAGCTTACAGAGCTTGTAATTTACTGAGTTACTGCTTGTTCTAATGACTACTTGAGGGGATGGCTTGGCATGAGTAAGAGACGAGTTTGTGTATAAATTCAGTTCAAAGGTTCATGCAATTTACAGAAAGTAATGAAAAGCTTAACTTGAACTCTCAACAACTCCACTTGTCCCCACCTCAAGCTCATAACACTGATATCATCAAGACTTTAAGAAGCTGCTACAGAGTGGGGGGAAAAAAAAGAAGAGTCAAAACCAGGTTCCCAGCTCGCACCAAGGCTTCATTAATTAGAACCACGTGTCCCACAGATGAATAGTGCACGATGGCAAAGGGGCTGCTGCACTCCCATTATGAGAGCTCTCCTCTCGAGCAACACTGCAGAGCCTCCTCTAAAGCATGGCCTTGGACAGGGCAGGAGACCAGGATGGGGCCAGGCAGAGCAGAGAGCAAACAGCAGGGAGCCAACTGGATCTGGCCATCTGTGACATCTGATGACTGGTCCCCAGTTTGGAGGAGGGGCCAAAGGACAAAAATCAAAACAGGGCACAGAACAACAACAAAAAATTTTTATACAAGGAGCCCTCATCCTTGCTCCAGACTTTGAATGAGCAAGGACTGCATGATGCGCTCATCAAGTAATTTTTTCTCAGCTGTGAAGATTTAGCTAGTCGTACCATGCTCACCCTGTCATCACTTTAGTTGCCTAAAAAAGTCCCAGACATTTCTAATACTGCTTTTCCAATAAAGAAATCTACATTTGCTCAGAAAGTAGAATCTTAATGAGGCCTTGATTGCTGAGTTAAAAAAGCATGAGGCAAGAGAAGTCTGTATTAGGGGAAGAAAAATAAAGAGCCCTTATTTAAACCCTCCTCTCACCTCAAAACAGAAGGCTCAGGAACTGAAAAGTGATAAAAGGCAAACACAATACAAAATCAATCTCTCTTTCTCCTGAAGGCAGGAGGGTTTTCAGCTGGCAAAATAAATTGTCCATTAGAAAAAAAGTGGTATCTAAATGCATTCCACGTAAGCAGTCATTTGCAACTCTCCAAGACTTCTCAGCACATGAAGCCTGTGTCTCCAGCTCACACACAAATGCAACAAAATAAGACCAAGTTTTTAAATATTCATTTCTGGAACTTGTTAAGTCACTGCTCGATTAAACATGAAGTAACCCAGACACCATCTCTCAGGGTAGCCTTTTTCCAAATTACAGGAATTTTTTTCAAATTACAGCAAACCCCATTTACACCTCCAAACAAATTACCAGCATCTCATATATAAAATTGTTTTCATGAATAGGTACTTTCAGTAACTGCTTAAGAAGGATCCTAAACATTTGAGACAAAGGGCGAAAGCACAGGTCTCATTTTAAATAATTAACACAGAATCACAGAATCATTTAGGTTGGAAAAGACTTCTAAATATTGACTCCAGCCTTTGACTGATGACCACGGTGTGGACCAAAGCATCAAGTGCCATATCCAGCAGTTTCTTGAACACCTTCAGGGATGCTGACTCCACCACCTCCTTGAGCAGCCCACTGCAAGGTTTAACAACCCCTTCTGCTGCTAACCCTCAGAAGAGGTAATGAATGTAGACTTTTTTAAATGTCAGTTTTATTTCCTTCCTTACTGAAGAGCTGCTCTGGTCTGCAAATTAATGGACAAAATAAGCTTTATTTTGATTTTCACATCGTGTGTGCTTAAAAAAAGATGGATTTCTGATGACAATCCCTACAAATTGAAACTCAAATTAGATTTTCTCTTCTCATATACTACCGTTTTACAACTAACTTTGAAAACCTTGAGGTTTTACTACTCCTGCTACCCCTAGCTCTTCCTGCTACAGTACAGAAACTATAATGCATACATAAAAACCTGTATTTATGTACAGACAGAGAACCAGAGAAATAAAAGCACTGGGCAAATGTAAAAGCTGCCATTTGAGTTTATACTCCCCAGCAGGAACTCGTCAAGCAATGTTCTGCACACAAATATAGTGGAGATTTTTCCATGGCCTTCAGGTCAGGCTCAGAAAGAGTATCTTAAGCATGGCAGGAGAAAAGGGAAAACTGCCAACTCCATTGCAAGATGAAATCTAGAGCTCCTTAAAAACCCATTTATTTTAATTAATTATCTTTATGTGAACAACAAAAAAAATATACACATCAAAGTTTTAAAGTAGCAAATTTACATATTTTTTTTCAGGACTTCCCTTTACTAATTTAGTTTTAGTACAGATGATCCTCCCTAAGAGAGTATTTACAGACAAGGAAAAATAGTTAAACATCAGGATATTTATTTTGCATACAAATATTTACAGAAAAATACTTACAAAAATTAAGTATTCAAATTTTTATGGACTTCACTTCAAAAAAGCTTAATGCTTTCATCTTATAAAAACATGTTGCCTTTACTGTGCTCAAATTTACTATTCAGATCTCTGGATTTTCTTATAAGAGCTTTCTTTTGTGCTTCATCAAAGCGATTGACTTTGAGATCCTGCTCTCGGTCAAACGGCCTTCTTTCCTGAGGTTTGCTCTTTTCTTCGGATGCCTTGCTCTTCAGCTTTTTCTGGTGCATGTCCATGAGAGACTCTGACCTCTTTGACTCCTGGAAAAAATGGGGAGGAAGAGGAAGTATTAAAGAATATCAACAACAACATACAGAAAATCCAAATGGAAAGACTGAAGTCAGGAAGGCTAAAAATTCCAGAAAAAGAAGAATTCCAGAAAAATTCCAGCTTAGTAACTGTATATAGAATGATAAATTTAGCATACATGGAGTAGAAAGTGTGAGTAATCTTGGCTAAAATACTAATAATTCACTGATGTAGATGGCCATAATGTTATGGGTAGCCATGATGTTGTTGAATCTCCGCAGACAATACAGATAAATTATAAAGATAATGCAAAAGAAATATAAAAGTTGCTCTGACATTACTGGCAGAAAGAAGACACCATGTCAAAAGAAATAACTCAAAGTACAAGCCTAGTTTCCTATACACATCCCCTAAACACCTAGATTTGGTCACTGCTAGGGGCAGAACAAGCTAGACACCCTTTCAACCTTTCATACAGTACGATGGGTTTTTAAATGTGTGCTCCTAACTCTGAATCATCTGTTGAAAGCCCACAGGACAAAGTCACAGTTTTGAGCTGGAGCATGTGTTTTGCCAGCTCAGTGGCTTTAGCTGCATTTCTTAGACAGCATGATCCAGCTCAAACACAAGATAAAACTTCTGCTGATTTCACACAGGAGCAGGATTAGCGCTCCCAAGACCATGAGGCCCCTCATTTACTCAGGTACAGTGCACTTGTGTATCTAAACCAATTCTCTCATCAAAAAGTGCAAAAGTTGAGCAGCTGTTTTCTCATGATCTTCCTTCACTTCCTGTGCAAACACTTACTACATCACACATGCAAATAATAGCTTATTCACGAGTTAAGAAAAGATTCTGATGGAAAACAGACAACAGTTATTCATGACGCAATCATGCCAGCGCTGACAAAATTGCACCAGAGAATGTATGTCGTATCAGCATCAAAAGAAGAAACTACTTTAAGAATGAAATCTGTTCTAGTGAAGTATCCTTAGTAAATGTCAGTGGAGAAATAGGAAAGAATAGAGAAAAAAACTTTAAAAGAAAAATACCCACAACAACAACCAGAAAATCAGAAAAGAGCTGATATAATAAAAGAGAAAAAACAAACAACAAAACAACCCAAGAAACAATGTTCTTAAACTTGGAGACAACTCCATGAATCTTAGAAAAAGCAAAGGCCTGTGTATGTTTTATTCCACCAATGGCAGAGAACAAACCCCATCGTTTTACATGAAAATTATTCTACTATATTCATAGTGACAGGAGAAACAGACACCAAAGAAGAACCTTAAGAGTTTTACATGAAAATTATTCTATATTCATAGTGACAGGAGAAACAGACACTAAAGAAGAACCTTAAGAGAGAATGCTAATAGCTCTGGATTTGCAAGTCTCTAAGTCAGGAAAAACATATGATTTAATGAACCACAAATAAATTATCAGAAGTGCCAGATAAATATGTAAAATAAGCCAAAGATGTGATTTTCAATGTAATTGTCCTCTCAAGAGACAAGACTGCCTTCCATAAGAGTTCAGGCCATACATCAGGGAAAAACTGGAAGTAGGAGCTTTAAGGCAGGCAGTGGTCCACACACTTTGAGGGACAGGGCTGACAGAAAAGTGAGAGGGAATTTGACATGGAGTTCAGATTTCTAGTAATCAACATCTCTCTGTGAACATTATCTGCTCCTGTAGAGATGGAGAAAAACTACATGTAATGAAGTTCCTGTAATGAGTAGTTAATGTAATTAATGACTGAGGGTAATTAATGCGGTGACCTGCTTAGCCCATCAACCCTTTTTCAGGTTAGTGCATATGTTGGCCTAAAAGTTAAACCTGCATTGTTGTTTTATTCTTGGATGCCAGTAATTGGGTGAAGCAAGCTAATATTTGAACTAAGGTCCCAGCAACCATGTCCTGACATGAGAATGATTGAAGGAAAGCACTATCTAATACTGAGGTAATATACACAAACCCAAATTCTGTCACTTTGCAGAGGACCCAGTCCTGCTCTTGTTGACATTAATACCAAGAGTTCTAATGCCTTAAAACAGCAGTAGGTTTGGGCACTAAAAGGGAAAACTATAGTGGCATCACCATGGAAACCAGCAGCACTAGAAATGAGAACCAGAAGAAGAGTGAAGAACTAAAGGAAAAGAACTAAAGGAAATAGAGGAAGTATTTTGTGATCACACTTACATTGTATGAAGTCACCTGCTCAATAAGCCTCTTGTCCCTCCCAGATAATACCATTTCTTCATTATCCTTACTGCTTGACTTTTTTGCCTCTTCTCTTTCCTGACGAGTAGAAGGAAATCACATGCTATAGTAATCAGAAAGTAAAAAACAAGCAAATCTATATCTACTTTAATTAAATCTAGAGGGTGAAGACCATGATACAGGCCATCAGATATTTTCTGCTCAGCTTGATGGAAGAAGAAACATGCTAACTGGAAAGTCAATAAGCTGATACAGAGTATCTGACTACTGCAAAATGAGAGTGGAAATAAATGTATATCAATGATATTTAATGTTGTTACTTCATTGCCTTCATCTTTAGGCCTAAATTAGTAAATTTTAATAACAAAAAAAAATCTGGGAAAGAAAATTTTACCGACCAACCCACAGTATCTTTGCTTTGTTTTCACAGAACATCAGTAACACCTACTGCCTGCAAGTCCAAATAAATGTATAAATAAATGCTCACCTTGGCTTTTCGCTCTCTGTCAGCTGGAGTATCTGTCCAAATAGATCTATCACCTGATTTGTCATCAGCTCGTCTCTTGAATGTTCTTGGGCCAAATCCAAAGCTTTTCAACTCAGGTGGAAGCTCTGTCATCCATGATTCCCTGGTAACTTGTTTGGGTTCATCCTTTGCAAAAGAAGTAAGGGGTGGAGGGAAGAGTGAAAAAAGCATGATCAAAAATTACTGTCTGAATCTCTTGGCTTCCAGCAGAAATCATAGACCTTTTTTCTTTAACACCTGCACACACATAGCATCCCAAGTTGAACTGCAACCAGGTTTACACAGAAATAGGCAAAGAGAAAGACAAATACACTCCAGCAACAAAATATTATAAATTAAGAAATCCAACTTACGCTGTCTGCTGAAGTAAGCTTTTCTTTCATTCTCTGAGCTCGGCGTTCAAACTCTTTAGCCACATCAGACTCCACTGGTCCTTTTGCAGGCATTGGGCCTATTAAATTGTCTTCGTCCTCACTACTATCTGTCAGCTTCCAAAAATAAAACATTTCTTTCAAACACAGTGCTAAGACCATCAAGGAACACTTCAGCTTTATAGAATTAAAATTACTTTGTCTAGTAGAGCATATAAACCTAACGTAAGGCATTTCCAAGACAATAAAAACCTGGATTAGAACTCCAGATTAGACCTGTTCTAGTGCTTGAACACAGTTTTTTTGTCTCCAATTTGCCAAAAGCAGCATCTCTTGTCTGAGGTAAGACTGCTGGTAAAGGCAGAGGCAGCACACAAAGCCCTGCTACTTTACAATGCTCTGCACACAGCCATGCAGCCTCTCTGGCCGTGGGTGAATTTGGAACACACATTCATACAACTTCCATATTTTGGGCTTTACCATCACCAGCAACATTTGGATGCATTTCCCTAATAAGGATCACAGTTTCACACTGCAAGAACTGTCTTGAGCTCAGATGCTGTAAGGATGTCAGAAAGAATAAAGTGCAAGGTAGGGTACCAGTGGCACGCATGGTACTATGGCCCTGCAATTACAGCATCTCTAACTAATCCCTTGGCTCTGTCATTCACTTCTTTGATCCCTCATGGATCCCTTCAGGAAGAATTTCTTCACTGCAATGGTTATCAAGCATTGGAACAGGCTGCCAAGGAAGTGGTGGAGTCACCATTCCTGGAAGTGTTCAGAAAATGACTGGATGTGGGCCTTAGTGCCACAGTCTAGTTGACTTTGGTGAATCCAAAGGTTGGCCTCAATGATCCTGGAAGTCTTTTCCAACTTAATGATTCCATGATTCTGACATTGCATTCTAAGGCATTTTTTGGAGAAGGGCTAAAAACTTAAATTTGTTAGGGACTAGATGTCAGTAAAAATCTTCCTACTAGCCAGGGGTTTTACAGAAAGCTCACTGGTGCCTCCCTCCAAGTTCAAACGGTACAGATGTGGATGGAAGCAAAACTAGACAGAAAATGGTGATGCCACAGTGCCCTGGACGCAAAGCTATGTTGTCCAATACCTACAGAAGTGAGTGCAAAGATTTTGCTACAGTCTGAATGTGCGTGATAAAGCAATGGGAGTAGGATGACAGGGCTGTGTAGCCAGGAAGCACAAAGCATTACTTGAGAATACACAAGGTGGTGAGTCATTAGATTCACTAAAGCAAAGTGAAGAGTCAGCATGCCTCTAAAGATGTACCTGAATACAAAATAATTAAATACATATTTTAAAAAGCCAACAAGAAATTACTCATATTAAAAAATAAGAAAAAGAGTATTATTAGGAAGAGGTAACAAAAAGATAACTATTAGGAAGAGAAAAACGGTAAGTTCTGTAATACCTGTAAAAAAGCTGTTGCTTGAAGATGTATTTATGAGAAGAGAGACTTTTTTGTTTGCAAAATATAAAAGCAGACAGCAGACATCTCTGCCTCAAGAGATTTGTCACTATGATAAATTGCTTAATCATTATTTGGAGTTAGAAGACGATGAGTACCTCAGAAATGTCAGATAATCTTTCTGCACGATGAATTACAACACCACTCACTGTAGGAGGCTGGAGAATTATATGCTTTGCAACTGCTAACCAAAAAAGTGAAGTTTCAGAGCAGCCTTTGCATTCCTCCTTCCTAGTGTGTCTAGCATCTCCCATAGTATCTGGGAGTTAAATGTAAAAATGTAAGTATTTTTAAAATAAACAGAATAAACATTAATTCTCCCAAGGAATTAATATTCAGTTTATCATAGCATGAGAGAGATTCACTTGCCTAAGCACTGGTATCCAGCACCACTTTTGGTGTCTTAGGTGCTGTGGTGTTAAGAGATGCTGCTCAAGAAGGGCATGACTTTCTCTAAACATGCTACTCCCTACCTGCCAGGCCCTCCCATAGGCACTTTGGATCCCTCAGAATGGTACTAGAAGCCCATGTTTAAGGAGTTCAAGCTTCCCCACAGTTGTATTTTATCACACATCGTGTTCCTGAATGTTCTTTAGTAGCACATGCATTATTTTGCAACCAGAACTTCTAGCTAGTTTATACCTAATATGACCAGAAAAGTCAAAAAACATGAACTAAAAAGGCATGTCAGTGTCACTGTCCTGCGCCTCACTCCCAGTCATAGGTATCATCCTGCAAGTGCCAAGAACAACTTAGTGACACTGTAATGCCATTCTTGATTGCATTCTCTTGGATAAACTTATTTAAAGGTTGTAGCCACTAGTAAACATCTTTAAGAAAGTGAAGATGTGTTTTCTGCCTGCAGTTTAGGATGCCAAGATTGCATGTGTTCAGTGAGTGCACCATCTACTTAACAGCAAAAGCACAACAAACCAGGCCAGTCTTTTTGGTTTCTTTTTTTTTTTAAAAAGGCTTAGTTATGCTCAAGTATTTGACTCCAGCAAAAATATGCCAGACACTTTCTGGTTCAAAATTAAACTGTCATCCTGAGAAGTGTCTGGTAGTCTCTTTCAGGCTGCAACTTGTTTAACCATTTCAGATAGCTGGTATTAAAACAAAAGGCTTCTCTTTGCACCAACCTGGGGACGGGATTCTGATGAAACAGATGGTCCTATGAAACATCTGCTACTTCTGGTGTCCTCTGAAGCTTTCCTAAAGCCAGGTGGTAATGCAGGACCTATAATGGGCCTTGACAGCAGAGAAAAAAAAAAAAAATTGTTTTTTCAGTTGAGGGGGGAAAATATAATACATCAGTACAAAAATCAAACATCAGTGAGAAGTATGACTTTCCTTCCTCCCCACACCAAGTGTGCCCCTGTGCACACATACTGTAGAAATAACTGAATAAGAGTGCCTCCATTTTCCAGGAGGACCTGTGCAGACAATTTTGATGCAAAAAAAAAACCAAAAAAAAAACCAGAACCAGGAAAGTTGCAACATGTAGTCAAGGAAATCCACTTTTTTCTTCCCTAGCTTCCTTCATCAGATTCAAGAGAAATGAAAGGTGATAAGACAAATATACACTCCTCCTTCACAATCAACAAACCCAATTTCGTTCTTCTTGTCTTGCACCTCAGTTTCATTGTCCTTTAATAAGCAGAAACAGTGAACTGCTCTAATTTTATTTTACCTTGGAGTGGGAAAGAGAAGGAAAATTTTGTGAGTGCAGGTAACTTCACTGATTTGTTTTTAAGCAGCAGCTCTGAAAGAAATGTTCATCAGCTGTCTTCACAAACACAGAAAGGTGAGAATCTCTTTTCAGCGGTGAAAAGAATACTACAAACTGAGCTCAAAGAAACTGTGCTTGCCGTATTGAAAGTCTTTTCAATGTGGGTTCCTCTTAATAATCCACCATAATATTCTTTAAAGTTAATAAAAACTGATTAAAAACTTAAACAACTGTCACCTGAAGACACATCCAGGTGACAGTATTCTCACAATGTAAGAGTAGACTTTGTTTATTATGACCTTCAGTTGTGAGCTTTAGCTTATTAAATGTAACAACACCTGAATTGAATTTACTAATTATGGCCTTTACTCAATCCCAATAATCTAATCAGGACAGCCCTGCTGTAATGATATTGTTGCCAGGGTTTAAAGAGGGGAAATAAGACACAAAGTCTTGCTGAAGAACCAACCACAGATACACAGACATGAGCAATAAATATGAGCTTAGGCCAGGACAAGGGCACTGGTGTGGTTTTAAACCCAGGCAAAAAGTCTGGGTTAATTTTGAAGTTCCACCTCCACCTAGCTGCTACAGCTTTATCTTCCTTCCTTCCTGACTACTTTCTTGTTAAGACCATGTTTTAATTTTCTAATTTAATTTAAAGAGTTTAAACTTATACAGATATAGCAAAAAATAATATTTTATTTTAGTGCACAAGTACTTTTATTCTTCATGGAGAGACAGATAAATCAAACTATAAAAAAAGCTCTCTACTGAAATATATATATATATATATGAACATCTCTTTTGTGGGTTGTATCACTGCAGCCTGTGAAAAAGAACCAATCTCAAATGCTCTGTCTTGATTCTGTCACAGCTCAAAGGGCCTTTAGGGAACAGAAAAGTAGTTTACATATTCATCCTTCCCATCCTTTCCATTCCTTATGCTTTTTCTTTTCCACTACATGAATATCTCTTCAGTCCTTCCTCAGCAGTACAGAGGTGACATGATCCTTGACAGTTTCCTGGATGTCCAGAGGGTCTCTGAACAGGTGAATTGAATCTAAACACCAGTAATATTATAACTCTGATAATATATTTACTCTAATAATATATTAACTACTAATAAATAACTGGCAAACACATTTTACTGCTGTAGGTAACTTCAGTACCTGTACCATGTCAAAAATACCTCCCAAACTTATGCACTAAGCTTTAATTTAAGGACTATTGCATTTTATATATGGCAAAGACTGTTCTCCTGTTTTTGGACTTGGAAGACCTTGCTAATGCACATTTTGAGATGGATGTTTCAACATTCTTCTGATGTATAATGTAAAATTTTTTAAGATCACCTTCACTCTTTACCTTGATGTGTGAACACTTCAGAAATATTTATGAGTGGTGCACTTCTATCTGACACTGGTAAACAGTAATGTAATATTCAAAGTTGAAGGAAATCTTTTCACATATATATATTTTATGCTGGAATGATTCAAACCATTTTCAACAAGCTGCAGATTGCCACATGAGCTGCCCCTAATCATGAACATGTTGCTTTGACAAGTCTGAAAAAGATGTAAGAGAATAAAAGCTTTCCTAAAAGAACGAGTATGTCACACAGAACTGATAAACAGCCTGTCCATACACTGAAACAAACGACCTGCATTTGTTTCAATTATTCATGGCTCAGTTGGCATCTGGCAATCTGCTCAAGGCTAAGGGCAATGCATCAGGCAGACAGCAGCACTGTGTCTGCGCCCTGCACAGCTCACACGCCTCCCAGACTCCCAGGTGTGCGGGGGTGGAAGACAGACAAGGCTCTTCCCACACATCTCACTGTTCCCACCTATTCAGGGAATCAGGCTGGGTGCAAAACAGCTCTCCTCAATCTGCTTTCTCAGTGCGTGCTAGGAGCAATTGTATGGCAAGGCAGGAAAAAACAATACAGTGAGTGCCAAGTGCCTTCTACCGCTTTAATTTATCACAGACACAGAGCAGACTCTTGCCTCACAGAATCACAGAATATTCTGAGTTAGAAGGGAACCACAAAGATCATCAAGTCCAGCTCTTGAGTGAATGGCCCCTTCCTCTTCCATTTTACCATGAGTATTCATGTCAAAAATCAAGAAAGTAAAAAGGCTACCTCTGCTGATATTAGAAATTACAAGTGTTCCTTATTTTTAATAGAGAATATATTATTTTCAATGAACTGCTAAATTGTATAATTAAAATAATACTTTGTGCATACACAACACAAGAAAAAAAAATTAGTTGTTTGTGGGACCATCAAAGCACCAAATGATCCCACTGAGCGTGACACCCACAACTACAAGAGTTTTTTGATTACAGCAGTGTAACCAAATGTACACGAGAAAGATAACTCCAAATAACCTTAGTTACATAAAGTCTTGCTTAGTTACATAAATTTTATGCTGCCAAGCATCATAAAAATTTATGCAAACTAAAAAAAAAGAATTAACTTCAAAATTTCTTTTGAGATGGTATATTTACACACACAGCTCAACAGTAAATTGAGTCACTTTCCTGGAACTGAAAACTCATACCTGACAGGCAAGTATTATTTTATCTACCAACTCCTATTGCTCTGAGGAAGATAAAAGTGATCAAGGGACTCTTGTACTTCTCATCAGGAAGTATCCCCTTGGAAACACCAATTCCACTATGGACTATAATTTCAAATTACAGAAGGAAGTGCCCAGATTGATGTAAAGACTAAAAGGCTGTGAGACACGGATGAGTTCTATAAAGAAAATCCATATAATATTTTGGGTGGGAAGTATTTTATAACTGTAAGCAATCAAATGGAAAGCTTCCTGATAGAGACCATAAACAGTGTTTATTTGTGTAGACCAGACAGCTCTTTTCTAGAAACCTACAGTGTTCAGAGTATTTTTGTACCTGGAGATATGTGAACAATAATCCTTGATGCATTAGCAAAGGACAGGGTATTGCACCACACATGAGGTAACTGCCCCAGACCCTCAGAGACCAGAATGAACACTATAGAACTACAGGTCCTTGTACCTGTAATTTGTTTTTTCTCCACTGATCTGAGACCTATCAAAAGAAATGGAGGAAATTTGACATATATCTCAGAAAATTTACATTAGCTCTTTTACTCTCCTTCCAACCTGGCCTAGGAGGGCTGGTGCTCTGTTTCGAGGGAACGCTATTCTTGTTCTTAGAACATGGAGGAAGCATTACCTCTAATCATCTCAATCTCAAGTGCAAACTGAAATGTTCTGTAATAGTGACACAAAATATTTAATCTAAAATAATTGTGTTTTGAGGAAAAGAATCTGAATATAATTCCATTTTAATTACCTCTCTGGAGAATCATCCTGTTTTTTAAATCCAGGAGGAAGAGCTGGCCCAAAAAAGCCATCATCATCATCGTCTTCATGAATTCTTTTTGGCTTTCTGCAAATACAGATTTCACTTAATAATTACCTTGACAAGCATAGCAATTATCTACATTTTAAAAAGGAAAAAAACCCACAAAATTATTTCATAGGGTCTTCTGTACTAAATATCCTGCTGTTACCATGGAAACAGTGCAAAAGGATCCAAAATGATTTGAAGCAATTAAAAAATGGGGAGTATAAGATTCACTTCAAAAACGTTCTGACATTTAAAAAAGAATAAAAAATTAAAAACAACATTAACAATTCTTTTGCTGTAGAAAGAAGTTTAGTATAATGTTGAAATACCATTTTCTAGTCACAAAGTAATTTAAAATTCAGTACTTTCTCCATTTTTGTATGCTGTCTGCATTTTGAGTAGTATTTTTCCTGTTCAATTCTAATTAGCTGAAAAACTATTGACTAAGAAAACAAGAAAAAAATTGAATAATAATTACTCTAGCACTCATTAGGATGGCATAATGGCCTTCAAGTCTCTTATACAAGGCTTAGAGCAAACACACACAAATTCTTAACACAGCAATTGTGAGTAATCAACCCAACAAATGAGAGTATCTGCAGACTCCTGTTACTTACTAAACAATTCAGGTTTTTTTCATGAGTCGACTTAATTGAATGCATAAATTCATGTCCATAAACAGGTCTTACAGCCTCTCAAAGAGAGTCAGTATACCAAAACCAGGGCAAAAACTCAAGTACCAAATACTTATGCACATGGTAAGTGGTGTCAGTCCTTAGCATAAACATGCAAATTTGCAAAACTAAAATAAAACATATAAAAACAGAGATCTGACTGCCCCAAATAATTTAATTCCACCGTAGGGTGTCAAACAGGTCAGCTGAACATTCTTGGCCGTGAAGAACATGGAGAAAATGTAATCAAAAGTTTTACACAGGTACAGAGTTTACCTTTTTTTATACAACTTTGTTCCTTTCTCATAAGTTAGACACATTACATTTGCAATACAATTTGTAAATATACAAATAATCCAAAAACATACTCACTTGGAAGCTGGATCTCCTTCTGTCTCCTCTTCAGAATCTCTATTTGCATCTCTGGGTAGAGGAAGAGATTCTGAGTCGTCATCACTGTCAGGAGTTTCTGAGCTACAGCTGCTTTTGTAGTCTGGAGGCAGTGCTGGTCCTGCAACTGAACATACAGTTATTTGGGATCATAAAATCACAGAATGGTTTAGTTTGGAAAAGACCTTAAAGATTGTCTAGTTCCAATCCCCCTGCCATGGGCAGGGAACCTTCTACTAGACCAGGTTAAATAAGAATACCTACCAAATGTTTCAGATGAGTATGATCTACCATGGCATTTCCAAAACACATATTTACTTGGAATTAAGCTTATTTAATCACTGCTCTCTCCAGCATTTAGAGAAGATATCTAAACAACTTTCTAGAAGTTACTTTTTTCAGCACCTTATTTCCATCAACAAGCTACGCCGAACTGTTCTGACTTAGGACATTACTAATCCATTACTACATAAGCATTCTATGGAACAGGGCTAGAAAGCCTGTTTTGTGTAACAACTAATGTACAATGGATGTGGCATAAACCAGTATATTTAAAAGAAGCACTTTAATGAAGCATTTGAAGCTCACTAGTGAAGAAACACATCATCTGTACATACACAGCGTGGGAGACCGTAAATTATTAAATGGGAGCATTTGTGACCATAAAGTATTAAATTAATTGCCAGCCTGCTTTGGGAATGGTTTAATGATTAAGGTTATTCCCAGTTCAGCTAAATGTGAACAGCAGGGACAGATTTAAGTACTCTGCTGAAAAAGGGATGATTTAAGCATTCAGAGAATGAATTCAAAGAATTGTTGCTGTCAGAAGGCCAGGACAGTGGATGAAGCTCTCATGCCCCAGTAAAACCTTCATGCTCTGGGGTAGTATCTCAGCAAAATTAAAACCCAGACACTAACACTGCTAACAGGCCTGAGCTGCTTCTGGCACTGTGCCCACCAGCAGACACTGATCTTTATAGGTTTATTTGGCTATAGTACCACATGCAGTGTGTCCAGAAGCAGCACAGCCATTGACCCTAACAGTAATGCCCTCCAAACAAGACCCCTAACACAGATACCCTCACAGGCTCAATCAACAAGGAGTCAGCTGGAGCAAGCAAAAACCAGCAATGGCTTTACCTCCCAGGTAAGAGGCCTTCCCAATCCAGGGCAATGCACCCATTTACACAAACACAGTACAAACAGCCCATGTTCCCATGTACTGGAGATTTGATTCTACTGATGATTTAACATCCTGAGACACAGACACCATTCCTCCTCTTAATATCTCAAGCACTGAGTACAAGATTTGCAGGACAGAGAGGTGCTTTGGTGAGGAAAAGACATTGTTCCCTTTATGAATAGTCAAGGGTCAGATGAAAAGATAAATGGTACCAGGAAATTAGATCTCCAGTTGAAGAATTGCAACTTTTTGATAGTACAAAATACAACCTAATGCATATTATGGTTCCATTGTTAGCTGACAAAGGCTAGGCAGAAATCAAGTCCTTTGAGCGAGCTTCACAAAGCTTTTAATCATGTTTAGCACAAGACTAGTTACAAAGCATCCAGGCAGATCTGCCACTTCTTTGTTTCCTGTTCTAATGGAAAAAACTTTAAATGGGACAAATCCATTTCAGCACTAGGAAGGAAAAAAAACCCAACAAACCACTTCTCTCGCCCTGAAAAAACCCAAACACAACACCCTAGTCTATAAAGGTAAAATAAGTTCAAAATGAAAGCAAACAAACAGATTAATGATAAGTAGGAATAAAAACTGCTATCAAGAAGTCTCATTTTTCCGTACAAAAAGCACCACTTGAATAAAAGCACTTAAAACCCACACAAAACCTGCACAACTGCTTTCTCCAGCCACCTGGTGCTCTGACATCATGCAAGCAGATCCTTCATCTGCTCTAAATGCAAAAGAAAAGACTTGGAATGGAAGGAGAACAAACTCGGATACAATTTGATGAGTCTAATACCAGAGAGGAAGAGAGAAATTAGGAGTAGTTTTGTGAGCTGCACAGAACTAGTGAAACCAAAACTACCTGAGGAAGGAGACTCGTCCCACTGGCATGTTGTTCAACACCAGGGCTAACATACATACTTTTATCCCAATTCCTCTCCATTATGTTGGCAAAACTGTTTGCACGGGCTATGCAATAAGCCGGATCAGGGAACTTAAAAGGCCTAAGAACAACACTGCAAACCACAGCACTTTCCTGAAAGAACTGTTTGTTAGTGGAATTGCAGCCTAAGCAGGACAACCAGAAATTAAAACAGAGACTGAGACTGACTAATGAAGGAAAAACGGCATTTAAAGCCTCAGGAAGAAAAAGTCATTGGACATGGTGAAAAGAAATGAAGGGGAAAGAGACTTGGGATTAAAAATTAATATGACCATGGTACTGCCTGAGACTAACAATCAGCACAGCCAAATACACAGCTAAGGATCAGGATGGTTTGGGGAGCCACAAGAAAGAGCAGAAAGGTAGGACTGGAAATTGCTAAGTGTAAATTCTGGGAGCAAAGAAAGAAAAGGGTGAGGAGGGAAGCCAAGATCTAATCAGAAGTCTGTGAAATTCCCCAAAATCCACAGGGATGTGGAAAAATACAGATGGAAGAACAGAGGAGAGCTCAAAGAGTCGGGAAACTAAACCTAATGAGGTGAGGAGGATAAATGGATGTAGCAATGGCAGAGCAACAGAAAAATGACAAAGTAACCAGATCTCAGAACAATTCAGAACAGAGCAATGGGATAAAAATGTATGAGAAGAAAATGTTTGGGATAGTGAGAAGAGAAACAAGACCAAGTGAGACTGAAGTGAATGTTTCACAGCTGCTAAAAGTGACCATCCTACTAATGAGCTGGCTCTGGTGACTATCTGCCTGAAAATTAAGTCAGTTCAATTCAGAAACCAAATTAAAAGCTACTTTTTGTTTTGTTAGGGTTATTTCTGCTGTATTTGGGGATTCTAAGCACCCTACCACACCATCAGACGTGACCTGGGAAGCTCTCAAGGACAGACAAGACCTTTCAGCTCCAGCATAGCGGTAGATCAACCCAGACATATCAACACATCTTTATGTGGCCTCAATGCTGAAACAGACAAAACCCCCTTCTGCGTCTCTGGTTATTTTTAGCCATTCCCTAGCACTTCTGTCCTGCTGGTACAAGGACAGCCCAGAGACAGGGACAAATAGGCCAAAGGAAGTACAATTCTTCCAGCAGGAGCACAGTTAGTCCAGCTTCAGAGCACCATCATGAAGTGAAGAATCAGGAAATAAGTGCATCCCATGGGTTGGACAAGCTGAAGAAGGTAAAGATTTACTAGGGATGAGCTTTTGGGTCTGTCCAGCTACCACCTGCTTCCATCCTGCTCCAAATTAAGGGTCACAGAAGTATTATTAGCAACCTCTCTGACACCAAAGGCAATGTGGTTTGTCCCATGGTAAGAACACCAGTGTGTATTGCAGGACAAAGTGTCTGGATGCTTATATCCAGAGGGGAGGTGGGAGTGGGGCTCAATGGGGCTGTTTGCTACTGACTGTGGTGCACATCAGCCTGCACAAGGATATAAAATATTGCTGGACACTGGCCAACTAGTTTCCCAAGGCTGCAGACAGCTTGCAGGTGGATTGTCCCCAGAAGGAATGTATTAGCAATAAATCTAATCATAATCATACACAGTCACTTTCCTATTTCTTGTGTCTGTCTGACAGCCTTCTCTTGTGCCTGAGTCTTCTTTGCCACAGACTGCTCAAAGTCCTACTTTCTTGCTGTTGGGAGACAGGAACTATGAAAGCAGACTAAAAAACCAAGAAAAGCAAGGAGCAGCTCAAATATCAGTGAGACTACTGTGACAGGAAAAATATTGGAAAAGCTGTTCAGCTTTAAAAGGTGAAGCATCTCTTAAAATAGCTAGAACACACAAGGGAAATTGTTACAGAACAAATTCCAGGCCCATTTGACTCAAGACCCAGCAAGTGTTGCAGCACAGAAGGTGCTGGTGGCAGCCCCACCGTGTGATTTTTGTCACTCCAGGTGCAGAACTCCAGATGGAGCTGCCGTTCTGTACAGCAAAGTGTGTTATGCCAAAGTACTTGCTCTCCTTTCTTCCTCTGCACTGCAGCAGTCTGCCTCATGGGGTGAGCAGGGACACTGAGCTGATGTAAGTCAAAGTCAGAAAAAGTTGGTGAAAATTATAAAAACAAACAACCTGCCAGTACCTGGATTTTGGGGTTTTTGTTTGTTTGTTTTCAAAGGCAAATAAATTCCTTCACCCACTTCACAGAGAAATTTCCAAGCAGATCTTGGATCAGTTGCCAGAGCAACTGTAATACCACGGAACTGGTTTACACTGGGACAAAGAGGGGACAAACTCATCTGATTAACCTAAACTAGACACTGCTGAAGCACTCAATGTCACCAACTATTGGCCTAAGGATAAGTTTAACTTGTTTTTTTCATACACGATACAGATACTTGCAGCACGCATCAGTGTGTTGATGGAAAGCGAAAAAAACGACATAGAAATGGCCAGGAAAGGCAGCACCACTCGTGCATTCACGGCTTCTGCACAAAGCTGAGATCCAGACACAGAGCTTGATGTTGCCATGGTGTCAGCTGATGCAGCAGCTTTATCCCTCTTGCTATTGCTCCCTCTTCTGGATTAAAAAACTAGAGAGCAGACAAGCACAACAAACCTTTCCTATCAGAGCTGCTTTCTTTGGAGTAACCGAACAGTGAGTGACACTGCTAGCGACTGAATACATGAACTAGTGCCTTGAACCTGGATTAAAGGCAAGGAGTGCAAACGCTCAAAGTGCTGCTTCCAGAGATATTACTGACAGAGAACATGCAAGAATTTTACTGGGGAAGCTGAACTCCACTGCAGAAGAGCCAGCCTGGCAGTCAGCTGGTCTCGGTGGGATCCCACCTCTGATGTGACAGCTCTCGACATGACAGGCAAGGCACCACAGCCCCACGGACCGGCAGCCTGCTCCACATCCTGAGGCGCTCTGCCTGGAAAACCACAGCTGATGAAGTGGATTGGCAAAGGAAAGCACGCTGCACAGGCCCAGCCTCCTCCTTTCCTACCCGCTAATTTCACACTTGGAGCTGCTGAAGAGCACAGGCTTCAAAGAGCACTCGAGACTTGAGCGGGACAAAAGTAAGTGACCGAAAGTAGTATTCTTCTAAAACGAGTCTTAGAGCGTTTCATTTCTGTGGCATTCCATCGCATACGGCGCTTATTTCTTGTGGGCTTTTTTTCTTTTTTTTTTTCCCCCTGAAAAAGTCACTGTAATGACCCTGCAATGGTGAGTTTAGCTCTATCCAGGTGCCGCACTGGCGGTGTACACCCCGCGCTGCTATCCCACCCACGGAGCATCCCGCGCCGTGGAACACGGGCTGCAGAGCCGCTCTATCCCGCTGGCAGACGGAACACCGGCCGCAGGCCCCGCTCTCCCCACGGAGCATCCCGCGCTGCGGCACGAGGGCCGCAGAGCCCCGCTCTCCCACCGCCGGCGCCTCCCTGCGCTCTCACCCTGGCTGAAGTCCTCGCCCGGCTCGGCCTCAGTGCGGCGCGGGAAGCCGGGCGGCAGCGCGGGGCCGATGAGCTGGCGGGCCATGGCGAGGCCGGCTCCGCGGGCAGCCCGGCCGCGCACCCCGGGCTTCGCTTCCCTGCTCCCGCCCCGGCGGCGCTCCCGGATGACGCAGCGCCCGCCGGGAAGGAGGGAGGGTTCACCTTCCTTAGGCCGGACGTGACGCGTTCAGCGGCCGCCGCTGGAGGGCCCCACGTGGTGGAGCGAGAGCATCGCGCAGCGGGGTCTGCACACCCGGGCCGCCTCTCTGGGCTCGACATGAACCCCTTCGCCTGGTACCCGCCGCCCCCGCCGGGGCTGCCTCCGCCGGGCATCCCCCCACCCTTCTTCTGCCCGCCGCCCTCCTGGGACACGAGCTTTTGGGCTGCCCCCGTGCCCTACCCTCCGCCCGGCCGCTACCCGCCGCCTGACGGCACCTACGCGTCCGCCGAGTCCTACTCGCAGCCCAAGAGCTACTCGCAGCCCGCCGAGTCCTACTCGCAGCCCGCCGACAGCTACCCGCCCGCTGAGGGCTACTCGGATCCCGCCCAGAGCATCCCTCCCGCCGAGAGCTACTCCCAGCCTGCCGAGAGCTATCCCCAGCCTGCCCAGAACTTCTCGCAGCCCGAGGGCTTCTCCCAGCCCGCCGAGGGCTACCCGCCGGCTCAGAGCTACCCGCAGCCCGAGAGCTTCCTTCCCCCTCACAGCTACAGCTCGCCTGCCGCCTGGTTCCCGCCGGCCTACGGAGCGCGACCGCAGGGCCCGCACGCCGGTGAGGGGCAGGGCAGGGCAGAAGCCGTGTCTTGGGCCCCCGGGCCCCTTCCCATCCCACGCTGGCAGGGGCCCCGGAGCTGTCCTGAGCCCTTGGGGCTGCGGGACTCTCCTCCGAGCATGTTCGTCATTCAGCCCTCTCTTGTCTCTTCCCTACATCTTTCTGTGTTGCCCACCGAGGGGGGTGTTTTACCAGGTATATCTGTGAATGGCTCATCTTTTTTTGTTTTCTCTGTTCTGAAGGTGGAAATGGTAATTTCTCCCAGAAATGGCAGGGCAAGCAAGCGCCTCCATTTAGTAAACATTGTCAAGAAGAAAATAACAAGCCAAAGGTATGGAGTGGGGTCCCCAGCGTAAGAGGGACATGTACGTGTTGGCATGGGTCCAGGGAAAGGCCACAAAAATGATTAGGGGGTGGAGCACCTCTTCTGTGAAGGCTGAGAGAGCTGGGGAAGCTCTTTGTTCAGCCTGGAGAAGAGAGGGCTTTAGGTAGAACCCTGCATCATCCTTGCAGTATTTTAAGGGAACTGAGGAGAAAGATGGGGACAGACTTTATAGTACAGCCTGTAGTGGTAGAGCAAGGAGTAATGGTTTTAAACTGAAGCAGAGTAGATTTAGACTGGACGTAAGGAAGACTTTTTTTATTATGAAGGGCATGAGATACTGGCACACATTGCCCAGAGAAGCTGTGACTGCCCTGTCCCTGTAAGTGTTGAAGGCCAGATTGAATGGGGCTTTGAGCAGCCTGATCTATCATAGGTCATGGTAGGGGGGGTGGAACCAGATGATCTTGGAAGGTCCCTTCCCACCAAAACCATTCTGTGACGGTGTCAGTCTTATGGGACTTGTCCCAAGGCACTATAGAGGTCTTGTTCTCCTGTCTGACCTGGTGCCCTTAGAAGAGAGCAAACATGTGACAGTCTGTAACTCTTGAAAGATACATGTCAACCAAATTGTTACACTGGTTTACGTCACCTTGCTGTGGTGGTGCCCAGCTGCCTCTGTTACATGGTCAAGACCAGCCAGCCAGATGACCCTGATGTGTGTAGTGGGAGAAGGCAGGGTCTGTGCTGCCCTCTGAACTTCTACCAGTCGTGGTCTGTCTTGGTAGGGAAGAGACATGGAGCTTTAGCCTAAATTTCACAGCCCTCGTGAAGTCCGTGCCAGCAGACTGCTGTGTTTGCAGAAGCAATAATTGATCGGAAGGTGGTAGTGGGAAGAGCTGAGTGCAGGGTACTCTGTTTAGAAGATAAGTAATTGGAACTTAACTTTCATATTATGTTAGTTTGTCTTTGAAACTTTTGAAACATGTAACTGCTTTATTAACAAAAACACTAATAGTGTTTGATGACTAACTAAACACAGGAATATGTTGTAACTGCAGTCCTGAGATTATTTCTTCTTTTTGTTTCAGACCAGAAAGAAAAAAGAGCCAGTTTTCTCTCATTACTGTGATACCTGTGATCGTGGCTATAAAAACCAGGAGAAGTATGATGAACACATTTCACAGCATAAGCAGGTTAATGGGTTTGGCTTCTTTTATTCACACTTCGATTTTTTCCTTTGTGCCTGACAAACGGTTAGCTGTAGTCACTCTTTGAACAGAAGACTTAGGAATGAGATTCCAGAGCTATGTCAAGTATTAATGGGGGATTTTTTTATGAATGCTGTATGTAGGGGAATAGGAATTAATTCATTGACACCACTCTAACATTACAGTTTTTGTGTGGAAACATTTAAAAATTTCCTTTATTGAAAATTATCAAAATTTGAAATTGCGAATTTTTATCTTAGGTAAACTTCACTTTCTCTTCAGTGTCAGATGCATTGCCTACACTGGTTATTCTAAAACCAGATGAAATTTAAAAGTGCATTATCCCTGCTTGATGTTTTTACAGTCACTTTTGTTAGCAAGCAGGGTAACTTACACAGCCTGTGCAACAAATGGTACAGGCAACTGGCACTGAGTTTATTTAAAGTGTGCTTGAAAGCTTGTTTATAATTTGTATAAATTGGTATGTTTTAAATTCACCCTCTTATCTTGCAGTGCTCAGAAGAAGGTTGCAATTTCAGTGCCCATGAGAAGATTGTTCAGATACACTGGAAGAATGTAGGTAACCCTCTGGGCCCAAAATAGGAGTCTGTGCCATCTTTATCATAGCCCTTTTTCTATTCTTCAGTGGTTTCCTTTCATTAATCTGGAAAAAAAATGTATTACCTCTGAGGAGAATCTGTTTCAAGACAATATTATGGATAAAAATTTGTTAATGGATTCATTTTATCATCTCTGTGTACAGTCTCACCAGTTTTGGAGATGAAAACAGTGTGATACCACTATACGTGACATAGTGATGTTTTCTTTTTTAACTTGTGTTTTTTTTCCTTCCCCTTTTAAACACCTGTGAAATACTTTTTCCTTAGGCACATGCACCTGGTGCCAAAAGAATAAAATTAGATAGTCCAGAAGAGATTGCTAGATGGAGAGAAGAAAGAAAAAGGTAAGACTTGTGGCCTGTGGATTTGTTTTACTGTATTTTCCCTGTGTGAGCATGAGATGACAGCTGAAAGGCAGGAGCAGCACATAACTTGATGCTTCTGCTGTTCCATTGACCCTGGAAAACTCCTGCAGCAATGATCTGTGTCAGAATGCATGAGCCAGGAGAGTGGGATCTGAAGAGATTATAATAACTTAAAAGATTATAATAGAAGGCAAGGTATCAGCTGAGAAGGAAACAGCTTTCCCAGATGCTTGATATGATATCCCAGGTTAGGTGAATGTCTCATTCCTTTTAGCCTCACCACAGATCTCATTTTAGAAATGTTTGTGTGGTGGTTTTTAGTAGCTTAAAAATCTGGAACTGTTGTAATGACTATAATTGTAATACTGTGTGTGCATTTCCCCAGCTTAAGTTGTCCCAGTAGACCACACCAGGGAGTTTTCCTAATTTTTTAAGGGCTTTCTGTGTTGCTTGATACTTTTCTAATGAAAGAGAGCAGAAACCATGAATGATACTGTTCTCAGGTAGTCTAATTTACATTGTATGCAGGGTGCAAGGTAAAATTCTCCTATAAGCAGTATTTCTCACTATTTCTTATCCTGTGATATAACAGGGTGTAACTTTTATCTTGACCAGAATTGAAGTATTTATCTCCCAGATTTCTTTTTTTTTTTTTCCTTCAGAATTCAACAGATTAAAATCCACACTTTCCCAGTAGGAGAAAGATGCTTCAGGCTTTCCTCACTTCTATTGATAATTTAGAATATAGTCTTGCAAGTGATCAGTGTGTGAGTTGTTTCCATGAGCAGCAGTCCTGTATGCAGAATGGGAAGTGTTATAAATTTAATTTTGAGATCAGTGGTGATGAGCTATGGGAGTGAACTAGTCACGTGGAGTTTTTTTAGTGAAAATAAAACCCAGTGGTCTGATGGAATCCTACTGATGTGTCCACCTTGCCTCCATGTCAGAAGGATGGATGCAAGAACACATTAACACAAGTTAATGTGTTCTTGCTTTGAAATTCACTTCCCTGTGGATGTAATACATCTTTACACTGTTTTTGTTGAAAAAAGAAAAATGAATGGAATTTATTGTAGAATTTTTTGACTGCCTCCCATCTATTTTTTTCCTGGATGGAGAAGCAAATTTTATCCCCATGTAATTTCATTCTTGGAGGTTTTAATTCTTCTTTGGACATGGTTTCAGCTTTTTCTGCAAACTTCAGAAAGGCAAAGGGAAATCTTACCACTATGTTGGCACATCACAGGAGTCAATTGTTGCACCCACTGTTCATTTTTTACAAATGAAAATAATCCATAGGTTCTTTTAAAAAAAAAAATCAGTTTTTTGATACAGAAACAAGAGATTATTTTCTCCCATTTTTAAAATGCCGTCATTAACCAGACAAAAATTGGTTGTGATCTGTGCAAATATAAGTTTGATGTTAGATTAGGCAAGTTTTGCTACTGGATTAATTTTCATTCTAAGATTTCCTTTTATTCAAAAGATGCGTGAGGGCTTGGTTTTTATTTGCTTTCAGTCTACATATTACTGTTGTGGGTTTTTTGTGACCTAATTTTCTAATGGTAGCTCCAAGGAAGACGATCCATGGATCGTATGCAATCTCTGAGAGAGGCTTTGCTACTCTTTTTCAACTTTTCATACACTTCTCTGTGTATGAAACACTCTGGGAAGTGTTCAGCAGAGTTCCTGTCTAGCAGCTGATGCTGAGGTTTAAGTGTTGAAATGATTAAGGTGTATAGGTCACTATGTGCTCTACTAGAACATTAGGGAAGTGGGAATTGAATGCAAAATTATGGATATTGTTTGTGTGGGGAGTGGGTGCTGCAA